GAGAGAGAGAGAGAGAGAGGAGAGAGAGAGAAGAGAGAGAGAGAAGGGGGCAGACAGAAGAAGAGAAAAGAAAGAACAGAGGGACAGGGAGGAAGAGAGATGAGGTGAGGAAGTACTCACATATTTCATTTGGTCTTTATATCAGACCTGCTCTAACGCGTCTGTCACTCATTCAAATAGAAACACATTTTGCATACATGGCTTGACTGATATGAAAGACATTTATCCTCTTACTATATTGAGTTCATAAATACACTGCCTATGAACCATAGATCTCACAGTATATATGACCTACTGCTTAGAAAAAGACAAAAGTTCATACAGGGGATCAGCAAAATAAACCACATGGAAAAAAAAAAAAATCACAATTACCAACAGCTACAAAAGCCAGTCACATGAGGTTGAATGTCATTTAGTAATACTTATTGAGCTCTAAAACAGGTCTGACGGTCAACACATTGATGTGTGACTTTCCAAAGCAAAATTTACCAACAGAGTAAACCAACAGAGTTACAAAGGGGCAACGATCAGAAAAACGGCAAAATTATGTGATGTGTTAAGGAGAAGTGATGTGTCAATGATAAGCGATGTGTCAAGGAGAAGTGATGTGTCAATAAGTCTCAAAATCAGGATAATGTATGCTGCACCAGCAGAAAGGAACAGCGGTCACAAGGTAAACGTCACTGGTGATTTTATAGTCAGGCTGGGCCATATATATCGATAAAATACCGTAACATGATTATGAATATACATACTGTTATCAATTTTAATATCATGAGTATTGTGGTATAGCCAAAATACTTGTTTTCTTCCATAATTTGCAGTTATAATGCACTATTTTAAAACAAATTTCATCAAGAGATGAGTCTGTTATTGGCAAAAATGTATCATTATACCTGACACACAACTCCATAACTATTAGTAAAACAATTTATCTAAAATTCTACATATGAATTTTAGAATATCATGAATAATATCATTACTGTGAAAACCTCTGAAAAGATCATCATTTTTAGAGCATATTGTTCAGTCCTGTTTCACAGAGATACAGACACTACACGCATGGTTTCTGAACACCATAAAAATATGGATTCAAATACAGGCCGTATTATCAGCGCAGTGATCCCCGCTCAGCAAACACTACACTGAGTTTCACTAAGCTGCACTATACGGCTGAGCTGCCATTTGCTGGTCCCAAAAAGACCAGGTCGAAGTCAAATGCCTTCCATTGCCTACCAAATATAATAGTCATTCAACCTATGAACTGCGTATGGGGGCATGGAGTGAGGGGGGTCCCTGTTCACCCATTGGGTCTAGGGGTCTCTGCTCTTACCTTGGCACTGGCAGGGAGTCCCAGTGTGATGGTGGGAAGAGTGGCAAGATTCTGCCCTGGGAAGTGGGCAATGGACTCACGATCCGGGAGAAGTAGCCTCTGGGTTTAGAGAAACAGTACTTAGTGAGTACTTGAGTACTTATACAGTACTCACTGGGGACACTTGAATATAATACTTACATAAAGAGTTAGTTCGGTACTCATAAGCGGTTTCAATAATAATTTGCAAGTGCTACAGTAAAAGATGCCGAACGAGTACGGTGCCAGAGATGTGCTGCATGAGAGGAAGCGAGAGGAGAGTCAGAGTGTGAGGATGCAGAGCACGAGGTCAGAATGGGAAGTTAATAAGCTGACCCCCGTGTGGGAAAGGAAGGGGTCACAGCATGCTTCAGTTAAAAAGTAAAACAACAACAACCACAGAGAGCAACTGCCAAGCAGCTTCCACGTGTCCCGCTGATATTGTGCCACTGGCCAGCTGAAGGCTCTCCAGCGTCATGGACACCAGAGCCCAGGGCAGAAACATGGATGCGTTTTAAAAAGGTGATGGTTATATCCGTGATTAAAAAGCCCCGGATCCCCTCTGAGCAAACGGCCAGATGAATCTGAACAGACAGAAATCCTGCCAGGGGGCATCTACAGGCTTCGTGCTGATCGGAGCGTTTCCAGCCAGCAGAGGCTGGAGCCCCAGGAGACATCGTCCTGCTCTCTCCATTAGGGCCTGTCTGTTTGCACTTGGCACGAGGCGAGCCCAACCCCGGCGTTTAATTATCCAATCGTATGGGCTAGTACCTAAGGAAGGAGCCAATCACACAGTGCAGGCAGGTGGGCGGGGCCCCAACGGACACGCCGACTTCATAACAAGTTCTGAAGATGCTACGGGGCTGAAAGCGTGACTGGACTCGAGGGGGGCAGTGCAGGGGGGTGCGGGAGGAGGAGCAGGGCGGCGGGGGGGCACCTCACCTCGTGGGGCAGTGCGCCGTTCTCAGTGGGTAGGCTGTCATTGGGCGAGCTGCAGCCAGATACAGGGGTGCTGCTGCTGCTGGGGGAGGAGTCTGTGGGCACAGGGGGCAGGGTGTCAAATCGCCACGGAGACACACAACAGAGTGCAGCTGCGACCGCAGCCAGGCGGGAATCGCAGGGAACCATCATGCACGAGAGAGAGGGTGCGTGCTGACAGAAATAGGGAGGGAAGTGAGGACCAGACAGGTATGGGCCACTAGGGGGGGCAAGAATACCTAAGGTTTCTGGGACACGGTGCTTGATGCTGGGCGGGGCACTCTCCTTACGGGTCAGCGGGCTCTTCCGGGTGTTCAGGTGGTTCTTCAGTTTGTTCTTCACCTTGAGGTTCGGCTCGGAAGCTGCGGAAGAGAGACAAGGCCCCGCGGAGCGTCAGTGACTCAGGCGGTTGCCGTGACGGCGCCTGCTCAGCTAACTGCTCGCGCTCAGGACACAGGAAGCCGATCAAACGAGAGCGGCGGAGCTGGAGGATGTGGCAGAGCGTGGCCCGCGATAACAGGCGTCTGATTGGGAAATAGGTGTAAAGGTACAGTGCACGCAATTCACACACACACCACCAGTGGGCGCTGCTGACGACACTGAACATCCACTGAACACATCCTCTTTAGGGGAATCTGACCGCATTTCAGAGCTATTCCCGTTAGGCATGGGTTGCGTTACCTGTGTTCTAATCCCGGTACCTGCCTCTAGACCCAGTTAACTGGAGTGGTGTTATTGGATAGGTTTCATTTCCCCAGTGCAGAGTCACTGAGAATAAAGAATCTATTCAGATAAACTGATCGATGTTGTAACTTCATGTGACTCATCTAAGAGAGACGTTCTGCTCTGTTGCCATACGTCCACGCCAGCAGCCTCGGGGACAGACGCCTACACAAGCACTGCGGCTCTGAGGCAGACCCTGTGGTGACCCTAGTTTAGAGCAGAGCCCCGAGGGACCTGTAGCTGGTAGCCAAAAGCCCCCCGAGCACTCATCAGGGGAGCAGTCAGTCCTATGGGATGGCTCTCAGTGCCCCTCCCACAGAGGCGGGAAGCTGATCTCAGGCCCCCCACACCCTGAGCATGGCCACTTCCAGCCCCAAAATGCTCCCACTTCAAGAGCAGCGATCCGGACTCCAGGGAACTAGATTGGTGGCTCATAGGGGGCCTGGCATAACCCGCCACCCCAGGCTCGACCCGGGGTCCCACTTAGTTGCATTTCTGCACTCTCAGCTCTCCTATGGACTCATTTGCTCGTGAGTACCCACCATGGATTACACATTTCCTCGTGAGTACCCACCATGATTACTCATTTGCTCATGAGTACCCACCATGATTACTCATTTGCTCATGAGTACTCACCATGATTACTCATTTCCTAGTGAGTACCCACCAGGGCTCAAAATGTTCCCCACTATGTCACAATAACAGCTTTCTAATCACATTGTGGGGACAATTGGTTATAATATATACATAACCCAAACACACACACACCGCTGTACGCCTCAGCCTGCTCCGTCACCTCACTGTCACTCGCTCTCTCTGCCGTAGACCCATGTTCCTGTCACAATGCACCCCATTGTCCATTGAGCTGCTGCTATTTCAGATTAGAGAGAAGACCTGAATGGTACAGCAGTGTTTTTGAGGGGGTGTCTGACAAGGTCGGGGGGGGGGGGGGG